CCAGCATGATTTGCAAATAAATTCTTTAACAATCAGACAATGTGATTTTCTGGATTTCCCCCCCCATTTTGTCTCTCATAGTTGAGGTATACCTATGATGAAAATTACAGGCCTCTCTCATCTTTTTAAGTGGGAGAACTTGCACAATTGGTGGCTGACTAAATACTTTTTTGCCTCATTGTAGATATTAATAGCAATAATCAGCACAGTATAAATCATAACAGATTAGGAATTGCAACAACGGGGTGATGTTCTTTAAAGTCAGTTGTTTGCAATTACGGAGATTTCTGCGTAAACACAGCTTTAAAATTGTACATAACCACGTTTCACAGGTATGTTGTAACTACAGCCCCAGACTAACTAGCAAATAGAGATGCTTTATTCATCCTCCCTCTACCTATGTAGATTTCATTAATTCCTCTCCAGTCAGTTTCACAACCTGATCTTCCCATACCTGATTTAGTCAATTTCATTATCCCTGGTAGTCAATTTCATAATGCCCCTCCAGCCAATCTCTACCTTGATATTCTCTTCCTATATACCTAATGGACGATTTCCCCCCAGTAGCATAGGATCTCTCAAGTAAAATCAGTAAGACGTACTTCAACTTTGAAACATGCCACACTTGATAGTTCATAGAAGCTCCAATAGGCAACAGGCAAAAATACAGTAAGACATCGCACAAATAATATAATTATTTCAAAAAATGGCAGAGGTTACAAAGAGAAAAATGTCCATATCTTTGAAAAATTCCATGAAAGCAGCAGTGCTGTGGTACAATGAACATTTCATCTGGGAGAGTTTGGGATAATATAGTAGTTACAGAATAAAATAAAATAATTATTTAGTAAAATCCACAAGAGGGCACTGCCGTCTTAGATATGAGCTTCAGACTAATTAAATCAATGAATCATAATGTTCTTTTTCAGCTCTATTACACTGTATCAGCAAAAGGAGCGTATGTGACTTTTTGCAGAAGCTGGATCGCTTATGCATTTTTAAACTGGGCAGCCTTGGCTAGGGGCATTTTCACGCCTGCAGTATTTCCACCTCCAGCCATTAACAAAGCAAATGGAAACTGGCCCCTGGTCATCCTCCCTGTTTGTGCATTGTTGAAACCCCATGAGCATTGCAAGGTCTCTAGATTAGTGAGTCCGGTGCTCCGAGACAACACTGCGTGCCACTCCGCACTCACCCTCTCTTCCTCCAGCTGGCCAAAAGGGGACTATAAAGCTAATCATTATCCCACTGCCTAAGCTATCAGTAAACTACCATTCCCACCCCATACGAAAATGAAATAAATGAATTGCTGCACCCCCTGCCCTAGCCATACTTCCCAGCATGTACATTTGGCCGTTGGTTTGCAAAAACATACCAGTTACTAGAGAGAGGGAGGGAAGGAGGGAGGGAGGAAAAGGAGGGAGGGAAGGAAGGAGAGAGGGGGAAAGAAGGAAGGAAGGAAGGAAGGAAGGAAGGAAGGAAGGAAGGAAGGAAGGAAGGAAGGAAGGAAGGA